ACCTTACAGTAATATTCTTTGTATCTTTTTTATCTTACTGTATTTATTTTACGCATATTTATCTTTTACTGCATGTTTTTATCACTTAAATTTCAGATTTAAATTTAGACTTTCAAAAGTGCCGTTATGATTTTGATGGTTAACTGTGTCACGGTTACGAGTGATTTTACTTTACGACAGTACAGATGAAACGCAGTATTACATAAAGGTATAATTGTAGCAAAAGCTAATGTAACGCACCACACTTACGTGCGCAGAAGTATTTCAACGAATTACAACACATTTAAGTGAAATTCAATGCACGCAAGATATTAAAGGAGGAATAACATCATACACTTTCACGTGCAAATACATAAGGTATTCAAGCGTATTCAACGCTACAACGCATTCAAAATGTAGTACAGCACATTGGCGTATGTATTCTAAATACAGATGCCACGTAGCAATGTTGTAAATGCAAACAACATACAGGAAAACTGTGCATGTTTGTTTGTTTAATCATTCTTGCAAAACATATGAGAGTTCTCTGCCTAAGCGAAAGATGCCTTCGGAGAGGTCTTTGGAAAGGAACCTAGTTCACATGCCGCTTTCTTAGCATGACTTCGTGATGTGGTGGTCAGCACGCTCGACGCTTATTCGAGAGGTGCGTGGTTCCAGTCCCGGCGAAGGAGTTGCTCATTTTTCATTTCGTGTGCTTCCAAAAATTTTAATGACTCAGCTGTATTCGTGCTCAAAATTGCAACATACCTTTATTCTATCTAAAATGCAATGCATTGCATTTGTCGAGTGCTTTTGCATTCTAACGCGTTCATACTACAGAAAGTCTCATTATGAACATAACTGATAAAAATGCATATAATTACAAAATAATTAACGATTTTATTTCAAAAGCTCCTCGATATGTTGTAGGTTCCTTTCCGCTGTGCGCACTTCAAATCACACGTCTTTATACTCTTGAGAACATAAAAAAATATTTTTAGCTCTTTGCAATCGATCGCAAATCTTTCATAAGTAAAATATGCTCCATATTTTTATTAGTACACAACACTTTTTTGGCAACGTGCGACACTTTCAATAGCTAGAATGCGAAGTGTAGATGTTTAATGTTTATTCTGAGGTTTTATGCTGTGTGCGGTGAAGACGGCTTTTCCCAGGGAACATATATTTTCTTTTATCCTTTCTTCCTCGAGTCAGCGCGAGTGGAATTTTCGGGAGTCGTCGAAATATTTGCAAAGAATGCAAAGCAGCTGACAGGATGTTAGATTGTAGTATTCTATGCCCCGAATGGTAACTTTGAATTTCCGAGGTTGTAGGAAAGGGGTATGGCATTGACAAATAGCTTCATGTTTATTTTTTTTTTTTTTTTTTTTTTTTTTTTTTTTGCCTCGACGAATAATGCATTTGATTTGCAGTTCCTCTCCGATAAAAGTAAATTTTTCTTTTAAAAAATTTAAATGTCTTCAAACATAAGAACGTTTACATTTATTGGTTGATTCAAAAGTACTGCAAATCTTTACACAAACATGTACTTTCGACATATAAACATATTTTCTTTTATAAATAATAAGAGAATCGCCGAAATTGTAAGCATGGATATTCGTAGCTGAAAAACGATTCGAATAATTTGATTCGTAACGAGTACTCCAAACCATTACAGATCACATCCAAACCATTTGTGCTGATTCATCAGGCTTGGACTGTGATCTTTTTCCATTAATGTTATTGTAGACGATCCATTTTTTAGAGGTAGTTTGTTTCAAAAAAAGGATCGATTACATCACGATTGAAACGCGTATCTCAAACATTGATTCCCTGTGTTAAGTGAATTTCTTCCAATTCATGCGGAAGCCAAATATTGAGCTTCTTAACGAGTTCAAGACATCTTACGTGATCAAAAAAGGAAGCAACAATCTCTGCTAGGCGTACATTTTTAACATATGAACTCTACGATTTCGAGGACGAGCAAAGTCCTTCTTCATCAGGAGCAAAGAAATCTGCAACTGAAAAACCAAATTACGAACATATTTATATCCAAAGGAAGTCAAGAAAAACCAGAGTGTAGCGCCATCTGTTAGTAGAAATAATAATGAAATTTGAAAAATTAGGATAATGGAATTTTAAAAGCTTTAGGAAGGATTGGATTAAAATCATTAAATAAATATGGCAAATTTTTGTGAATGTGAAAAGTTTTAAGAAAATATAATTCTCCAGTGGAAGAAGCTTTCTGCATAATTTTTGCAGACCCAAAGTCGAAACTGTGATTAAATTTCTAATTATGATTAGCAATCGAAGACTTCTAAATTTTATCTTTTCGGACATAAGATTCGTGTTTCTTAATGCTCGTTTGGTGTGGCCGATATATCTCGAAACACACTGACAAGATATACCATAAATTTCCCAAGAATTGAAGTCGGAAATAGCATCATTAAAAACTGAACTAAGAATTTTATTAACAGCCGAGAAAATGACTTGAAAATTGAAAATCTTGTGAATTCTTTGCAATTTTGTAACTGACAGAAGTATGAAAGGGAAGCTCGACTAACGTTATTTCTAACAGCGGAGTGTTTTCTTAGATGAAAAGAGGTAAACATTTTAAGAAGAAAACTTCATTAAAAGAAAACCTTTACGATTTATTTTATCTTCTGCCTTGATCTTACCTGATTTTCAATTGTTCTGTGCGATATATTTAACTATTTTGCAATCTCGCATAAGTATGTGATGATTCTGTTCAATTATGGCTTTAATCTGTTATCAACAACTTCAGAAGGTCGACCAGAGTAATATTCAAGAAAAAAATTTCCAGAACGAATTTTTTTAACCAATTTCTGACACATATATTCTTTTAAGAAATCGACACCATAAATTTCATATATCTCTTTGTCAACCTCAGCCGCTTTCTTGCAGTTAAGAAAATAAAGTAAAATATGTCGAAAATGTTTATTTTTGTACTCTATGTTAAAACGAACCGTAATTTAAAAGTTGTAAACAAAAATGCAAGTAATTTGTTTGTATAGCAACTTAAAAGTATCATCTGACAGATCTCAAAGGAAATAAATTATTATTCACAGGAGAATACCAAAATAACCATAACCGAAATTACTTGTTATTATTTGTGCAAACCGAAATTACTTTCTTAAATTTAAAGACGTTATGTAATAGAAAAGTTCATTATAAAAGTCTTCCTTCATGCAAAATTATAAATTTGTAGGTATATATATATATATATTGTTACGAATTTAGTACTTACATAGCTAATTTCAGTAGACTTATAATTAAAATTGTTGTATTTCTCCGTGTAATGCAGTGAGAGACAAATTTTAAGAGAAAGCTATGCCCGAAAAAGTAAGAATACAAGGGCACGTTAATTTAACTTTCAGTAAATGGATATCTTGGTAATTTGTATTGAAACTGAATAAATGTAATTGACCACTATGTTAGCTGTAACCTTAATTCTACACTCTTATTGCATTCCAGAAATCTCGAGGAGCAGAAACTACTAGAAATTTCTCTCGACCAGATGAAAATTATAAAAAACCGGAGAGAGAGCTTTTCAGTTCAGTTGCTCAGTTACTGCTATTGCGAGTTGTTATTTTCGAGTGAATTTGGAAATCCGAGTTAATTTTCTCTTTAGATATGCTTTGCATTACGTTAAATTTTAAAGTTTTTGTAGTTTGAAGTATTATATCGCGCGATATTGTGAACACTTGTACGAATACCTCTGAGGAAAATTCCAGAGTTCTGATGTATTTCTTTTGATAAGAATAAATTTTATTAACCTGTTATCGGGCTTGTAAATTCAATCTATTATGAATCCATACGCACCCAAACAATATTAATATTGTTGGGTTTGTACGGGTTGGTGGATTTGGAGTGATTAACGACAATACTTAAAGAAGAATCAAAAAGCAATTTATTAGCCAGTACTACTCAGGACAGTCTCAAAGACACGTATATGGTCGCAGAAAAACTACACACACGCTGAAACAATCAGCCACACAGCCTTTAGGCTATCGGGCTATAAGTGTGAAGACAGCTTCACGGAAAAGCACTAGAGTACAGCTCTCCAGTGGGCTCGGTCGTTCTCGAAACTCAACGTACGCTCGAATCTCTTTACGTTACAACTCGCGATGCACTCGATAGCCTCAACGATGCACCAACTCGCGATACTCTCAATGATACACTCGATAGCCTCAACGGTGCATACTCTCGATGCACCAACTCGCGATGCACTCGTTAGCCTCAACGTTGCACAATCTCGATGCACCAACTCGCGATACACTCAACAGCCTCAACGATGAACACTCGCGATGCACCAACTCGCGATACACTCAACGATATATTCGATATCCTTAACGATGAACACTCGCGATGCACCAACTCGCGATGCACTCGACGATACACTCGTCAGCCTCAACGATGCAAACTCTCGATGAACCAACTCGAGATGCACTCGATAGTCTCAACGATGCACACTTCCGATGTACTAACTCACGATGCACTCGACGACCAACTCGATAGATTATAAGATCCTCGATACACTCGCAATCGACTGCTACTCCGCGTGCAAGCAGCGTTTATATAGCTTTTGGGCTGCTTTCTAAAACATTCTGGGCCAAACAGGTAAGAATTCGTTCCAGAATGCTCTATCCGTATAGCATATCGTCAGTTTTGTCGCCAAATGGGCCATTCAAAGCCAAATCTGGCAACCATACCTTTCCTTGCCATTTTATGGCAACGCTAAAAACTTGCCTTGCGGGAAAGCTATCTTACGGCGGTTGGACATTTAGTAACAATATGTTTGAGTCAAAATTTGACACGACTATTCTCCCACATGATAGGAAGAAAACATATTAATCGATATCGGAAAGCAATTTAGTTTTTACTTTCGGAAATGTGTGTTTTAGCGAAAGAAATTTAGCAAAAGAAAATTTTTTGTATAGTTAGTAACGGTAAAAGATTTTGAACACTAGAAATATTAACAGAATAACTTTAAACTGTGATTTGGCTTTTTTGCTTCCTTGAGGACATTTTATTGTAATATCCAATCCAGATTACATGATTGTACTGCAAAAACATTGAAATTAAGGTCCACATTGATTGCAAATCTGTTCGACATGCATTTACATCAAGTTGATCTTCTACGTTTTCAACATCAGTTGCCGGATTGTATTCTTATACACTTCATTGATCTGTAGCTGTGGCAGATCTTGAATAATGCCCTCTCGAATATTGTCCGTGCATGTCATCTTCGACCCGATGTAATCGGTTCGTCGCACCATATCCAGGATAGCTTCTTTGACAGCATTTCCACAATTGCTGGATATCACCTCTCCAACACAAGCGACTGCATAAGCTTCGACCCTAGGTAAATACGTATAAATGCATTCAAAAGTAAGGACAAGAATAAATAAGTAAGGATCTAAATAAGGATATAAGTAAGTAAAGTAAGGATATAAGTTAGTAAATGGTTAAGTAAAAGGATATAAATATTAGATTCAAAAGTAAGAATACGAATGACAACTTTATACCGAGCTCTCCAAAACATTCGATTCTTTTTTTTTTTTTTTTTTTTGTTATTGTGACCAGTCTCACTCTCAGTAACATCAGAAAAAGACCCCCGAAATTCATCGCGGTAAGGAGTGCAAGATTGCGCCTGCTGTGGCTGTTCCACCGCTTTTTCCCTACCACAATCTCTCTAGAGGACTTTCGGCTTGCCGCATATTTTGTGTGCTCCTATGCCGCACAGACACTACACATATATAAACATCCATGCCTTCACGATGATTCAAACCCGGACGCTTGGTAGAGCAGTCAACGTCGCTATATCCCGGTTGGGCGGCTCCATTTTACGGAAAATGTTCACCAATATTCTTTTTCTGAACGCAAAATGAATTACGAAAGAGGTACTGATCCTGTTCTTGCAAGAGTGAAAGACCTGAGGACTGAAACGAGTTTCAACGATGATTAGTCAAACCAAGTTCAACATCAAGCAAATGCTGCCCATTATTCATGAGATTTCAAAGCACAAGAAATGTGCTCGACGTTTATCCTTCAGGATGATCATCAACATCAGCAAAGACCAAATGAAGGATTAAAGAAGCACCTGAATCTTCTGCGCACAGATTGAAAACAACTAGTCATAGTTAATTTCAGGTGGCATTTATGGTGCAGTTATACTTCAATAAGAAGGGTTATACTGAAGTACAATTGCAGTACTGAAGGGTTATAGACTATATTGTACTTCAGCAAGTACGACATGTTCCTAAAAACATGAGCAATTATCTTGGTAATTGCATTCATTAACTTTAGGATTGGAAGCCACTCGCAAAGAATGGGACCTGTGCGTCCACCAAATCTGACAACTCCCTATTTCTTTCCTTGGTGTTTTATGAAATGCACAGGATGATTGATGGGTGGGAGCCTCAACTTACTAAAAGTTTTATTTCAGGTACGAAACTCCACCGTCTCTGTTTCGATAAGTTTTCTTTTATTTTTCAATTCAAATAACGAAACATAGGACATCTACAATTATCTACCGAATCTACAGTATATAGAATTGTTATATCTATATAGTTTACTCTTCTGAAATGCTATTTCTGTGGATAAATTCTCCTTTCCATAAAATGGATCAATACATTTGAATCACCCTGTTATATTGTAGAGTCCCTAGGACTTTTTTCCTGAAGCAGGAGACATGATAAATGAGCATGCTCTCTTCGGGACTCGAACCTGGACCTCTTGGATCCCCGCCGAGTGTGCTAACCGTTGCACCACGAAAGCATGTCGAAAGGAGATAGAAACTTCCTCTTTTGAAGGGAGACTGGGGAATAGGACCCAATCAATCACCACCACTTTTGTTCCAGTTCATTATCCACCACCATTTTAGTTTGGGCACCACTGTAGAGTCATTAAGCTATTTTTTGAAGCAAGAGATGTAAAAAATGAGCAATTCCTCGCTGGGACATTAGGCTATTTTGAAGCAGGAGACGTGAAATATGAGCAGTGGCCTCACCGGGACTCGAAACCTGGACTTCTCGGATACGCGCCGAGTGTGCTAACCCTTACACCACGAAGGCATGCCGAAAGGAGAGAGAAAATACCTTATAATATTACTTACTAAAAATGATATGCTTTTCTGATACCGAAAGCTGCATTATGAGCCTGCAGATATTTTAGCGTAGCATTTAATGAGATTTAGAACAGCACTTTCAGTTAATAAGATTCAAATTGTTTGTAAACCATAGCTATTTACACCTCTTTTTCGGATTTTTAAGGAGCATAATAGCGGCCGAGTGGTTAAAAGGTTGCACAGAGTTAGTCTCGTGACCTTTTCCATGTGTATCGTAAATACGAGCCAGTTTCCCTCTGAAAGTTCTGCTCTAAATCATTCCTCCTCTAAGGCACACAGTGGTGGAAGGAGAGAGAAAAGAGCGGATAATATGAGGCTTAGTTTCTTCTCTCAAATTTGCGTATAAATTTCTCACATTTACTTTTTCATCAGTAATATGTATTGATGATAATTTCTTGTTTAATGATTGTCCGTGCACATATGGCAGAAAATCATACTTACGTAGAAAAGTCATACTTACATACAGAAGGTTTTGCTCCCTATGTCATCTGCTGTTCCCTCACCTTCGTAATTACTGTAAGCATTAACGGTCTCCAAATACCCAGTATTTCCACAACTTGTCTGGTAGAAGCTGTCTTTTATACATTTCAGGTGGCTCGCAACAGCTGTTTAAAAGAAAGAATACTGATTTAAATATATTTTGGAAAACTGATGTGCGTATGTGGTTGCATGTTTGTTACAGCTGTTTATATTTAATTTTCATTAACTCGAATTATTATAAACTTGTTTCGTGTGCCGTATAATTCTGTAATTTCTGTAGATTTTTTGCTTTTTGTATTGTTTTCAATTTATCAATGAATAGTTTTTTTTCAATGTTATCGAATTAATATAAATAATGCTATAGATAAATAATCTTCAAAGTATAAGAGTAGCCGCAGTTGAAACTCAGATAGTAACAGTTAAAATGTCAAGGCGTGGTGACTAAATTTCGATCCAAATTTGCTACTTTCGGCCAAATAACTCGAATTCAGTGACTTTTGAAAAAATGCGTTTTCGAAACTTGAGACGATTCTAAGGCCCGGTAAACGACTGCATGTGCGTTTTCATGGTTTTCCGTATGTGTAACGCAAGTATCGAACAGTTTTTCTTAGAAAGTATCCACGAAGGTATCTTTTGCTTGAGGCAGTCAGACCTCGCATACGTTATCTGAATCAAACTGAATATTCTGGAAAGTATCTTTCTCTTCTCGACGACTAGAAAAACATAGAAAAGGGAGGAAATAGCTGAGGTGTTGATGTGATTACGGTAGCCTCGAGGGCTATCTGCCTAAGGGGAGGAATGTCTTCGTGGAGAACTTTCTAAGGAAAAATGGCTCTATACACGTTAAATATGGAGAAAACCTCGAAACGCCTATGCAGCCAGCCCGTTTGCGGGATTCGAACCTCGGACCGAACTGAACAAAGTTCAGCGATTTTACCGTTCTGCTGCTGGTGGACGAGAAGAGCCGAGAATCAGCGTTATTTTAACTATTCTTGCAAGGGATATAAATGATAAGCACTCTGATTGGAGATGACGCTGAACTATTTGTAGCATAATTACTGTCGAAATGCGTATACAAAGTGAATATGAACAAAACTATAGGGCCTGATAGGAGGCAGCTATACGAGCAATATTCGTCATAGAATCCGTGGTCGGAGAGCAAAGGGCGAGAAGCTAGATGGCATTGTAAATAAATGGTATAGAAAGGATTGGCCCTGGCACCCGACGGCATTTTCTACCGTGGATTGCAGAGGGGATTGTTGGCTATACGAAAGACGCAGTTTCTGGGGCGATAGATTGGTCAAGGTGGTTCCATAGCTTGACCACCAAGATCACCGGATCTCTCGTGTTCGGACTTTTTCCTATGGGATCGTACGAAAAGCCGAATCTACGAGTGCCCATTTGAAACCAATATGGATGTGTAACCGCTAGGATCGCCGTTGTTAACGATATTCGGAAAATGTCTCATATCTTCGCAAATGTCCGTCAGTCCCTATTCCGCAGATGTGAAGCCTGCCCTACAGCCGGCGGAAGGTCTTTTGAGCAATGTCTGTGAGCATGTCCTGTTGATTATAATGTTTTCTAAAGTATCTCTTCTCGTACTTCTCTATCTTCCGACTATACATTTTACATCGAATATTGCTCGTATGGCTGCCTTTTATCACCCCCCCCCAAAGTTTTACCCTCTTGTTCAAAGTCACCCTGTAAAATTCGATTATTTGATACCCATAAGAACGGCATATTCCAAGCACCATTGCAGGAATGTCGAATATTATTAGCGGGTCAAATGAATTTTACCCACTGCACTACAGTATTCCTTTTCAGCCGTCATATGCAAGGAAAATGTAAAATCGGCCAAAAGATCAAAAGAATATTTTCATGAGGAAAACAATTTATACCATAATCTAAATATGAACACCTACCTAATCTGGACAGTGACTAAAAGCTAGTTTGGAAAAAAGTTGAACAATGATCGAGTCATCCACAACTTGAGCAGCGATTTTCGAACGAGGGGGGGGGCACCAGAGACCGAGTGGAAAAGTTGCTGATCACTGTTAGTTCTGTCCGAGGTTTGAATCTCAGCGAACGGGCTGGCTGTATGGGTGCTTTCGTGGTTTCCCCGTCTGTAAAGTGTATACGAGCCAGTTTGCCTTCGAAAGTTCTCTACGAAGACATCCCTCCCCTTAGACAGATAGCCCTCGAGTGCTTTTCCATAATCAAATAAACCAAACCAGTCAAATAAGCGGTCTCTCATTCGGACTAGCAGGATCATAATAAAGAACAATATTCGAAATTTATTTTGGAAAATACTGGTTACACAGAAGCTCTTTTAGCAGATTAGAAAGCTCTTTCAGCAGATTTGTAATACTAACCTGTATAGTGATTAACGTCGCTGACTTCCGTGCCGAAGGGCCCGGGTTCGAATCCCGAAGAGGTCACGGATGTTTGTAAATGTATAGTGTCTGTGCGGCGAGCGACACTCTAAATATGCGGCGAGCCGAAAGTCCTCTCGAGAGGTTAATGGTAGGGAAAGAGAGGTGGGAGACCCTGACTCGTCTCCCCGGGGATCTCTCCATCAAAACTGTGGAGAGGGGCGGAACTGCGCAATATCGCACTATCACCTGTAAGATGCTCAAGGCTGTTGCCAACGACAGGCATAAACTTGAGCTCTTTGCCACGAAGAATTTTGTGGGTTTGGGCTGACTGTCGTCCAGACACCGTGAACTTTAGCAACAAGATACTTAATATAAACACGATTTCACTAAGCCAGTCAAGGAGCGAACATGAAAGTCGCATTATTTTTAATTCATACAAATTATTCGGTCTTATCCGTTTCTTCGAACGGCTTTTAGCATAATTAGTCATCCGACTCTGTACAGGAAAGATTCCAGTGGGGTTTGATTTATTTCATTATAGCAAAGCACTCAAAGGCTACCTGCCTAAAGAGATGGATGCATTCGTAGCAGGGCTTTCTAAGGAAATCTAGCTAGTATCTATGGTACACAAGGGGAAAATCCCGAATTTCCCCATGTTGCCAGCCTTCGCGCTAGGATTCGAACTCCAGACCGAACCACGAGCGAATTTACAGTTAACTAATTAACAAATTTTCAATTAGCACTTCACTCCCTATCCTATAGGGAATTTTAGCCTTTTTAACACGAAAAGTTTGCAGTGTAGAAAAATGTACAGGTTCTGAACCTTTAAGAGTTTAATTCCGTTTGAATAAAGTGAAAAATTTTGAAGTCAAAACACTTTGTTTAAACATCATTTTTGATATTATTCGGAATAGTCTGCTTTGAAGACGACACTTATCGGCCAGTTAGAAGCGGTGCAGATAGCTGCAGAAATGGAAAAGTGGCTGACGGTTTAAAGCTCCGCTTTAATAATAAACATAAACTCTGCTTTCTGAACGAAATTCAAAGAGTATAATTATTTCTAGGTAAAAGAAGAAAGAAAACAATTGAAAACAAACAAAGTTTAAGAAAGTAAGAAAACAAATTCTCTCATGTCTATATTAAATCTCAAGAGTGAAACATCTTGCTGTTTATTTTTTGCAATAAGTACAAAAATTTCCGAATTACAAGTACACAAACCAGAGGAACAGGTAATAAGATAGATTTTCAAATTTTTACAAAATTCATTTCTTTACATTTAAAAATGCTTAAACATGAAAATTTGAGATTTGGAAACATCTTTGCATGTGTTTTTCCCTAAATGTGAAAGAAACATATATCTTAAAAATTTCCCCAAGTAGGAAAAGTACATTTTTAGCTGACGCTTTTAGGAAATGGTATGATACAATTAGAAGTTTTGTCGCGACTGAACAATAAAATCTAAAATAATTCTAGGAACTATTTATTTACGTGACTTATGACAGCAGAAGAATAACTTCCAGTTGATGTTTAGGCTTAAAGATATTTTGAGTAATTTTTACCTTTATGAAGATCGGAATCCTTTTGGCAAAGTTCTCCAATTACTTCAAGTATAGCGGTCACTTCTTTAGTATCTTTATTACATCCAACTTGATATGCTTTTTGACATTCGAAGAATTTCAATGCGTCTCTGAAAAGGAAAGAAAAATAATAAAATTCCCGAATATAGTCTGCATTTACGTGACCTATCTTTGCTTCTTTTAAAGTGTTTAAATTGCAAAAGATGGAGTAATTATTACATTTGTGTCAAATAAAAGGAGATTTAAATAAAAAAATTCTGAAAAGTTTCAGTTTTAATATTACGTCCAAATGGGCGTTTTTTTACGTTTTGTGTGTTACCTTTATTTATTAACTATCATGTTATACGTACTCAAACCATAAAATTCAATTCAACAGCAATATCGCAAAACAATTTTAAAATGAGCCTATCTTTAGAATTTCCGATACATTCAGTCTCGAGGGCTGGAGATAAAAATGTTTTTTTCTTTTTCGTGCAGTGTTGCCATTGCTTGCTTTGAAAGCGTCTAGTTTTTTAATCAGAAATTCCTTGAAGTGTTACAAAATATGAAATCGATAGTAAAACAAATTTCAAATTCAAATTAGGACTTCCACATGCCCATATTCTACGGAAGTTTACGTTATTCAAAATTTGGATGGCTCTAGCTATCGTTGTTTCATCACAGTGCTAGAAACATACTGTTACGAAATGTACAGGTGTGGAGCGATTTCTTCCCCGCAAAGCAGTTTCAGGGTTGCCATAAAATGACAAAGGAAGGCCGGTTTGCCACATTTGGCGACAAATCGCCAATTTGGCGTCATTTGGCGATATGCTATGGACGGATGGAGAACCTTCTGGAACGAATTCTTACCGGTTTAGCCCAGAATGTTCTCGAACACAAGCCGAAAGCTATATAAACCCTGCTGGTCCGCAGTCAGTTAGAGTGTCTCAGTGTGTGTGTGCCTCGTCTAGCGAAATGATAGTCAGTCATTCAGCGAGTGTCTCGAAGTCTAGCGCCGAGTTGGTCGTCGAGTGCATCGAAAGAGTCTTTTAGTGCATCGCGAATTAGTGCATCGTCGAGTTTTGTCTTAGACTGTGCTGAGTCGAGAGCTATACTCTTATGTATCGTCGAGAGCATCGCGTGGAGAGTGTCGAGAAAGCGTGTGGAGTTCCAAGAACGACCAAGCAGAGTTGGGAGATGTACTCGGGTGGTTTGCAGTGAAGTCTCCACCGTTATTGCCCGACAGCGTGAAGGCTGTGTCACTGTAAAAGTGTAAAAACAACTGTACAAGTGTAAAAACGACTGTAAAAGTGATTTTGGAGCTATCTGATTAATATTGGCAAATTAAGTGTGTTTCGATATTTCATCAAGTGTCGTCGTCTTAGATTAAAATGTATATATTTACTTCCATCAATTGTTAGGAGAAAGTCAACATATCGTTGCTTATCATTTAGTATGGTATGTATTTATTTACTCTGATAATTTTCTTCATGTTTCCATGTATTTCTTAATTACCGTTTGGTTTACTTTAGCAACAGTAATTTAGATACTAATGTGCAAATAATTTATTTAACTATGGTTTGTTAACATTCAGTTAATTGAAATTTGACATTTTGTATCTGAAGATTATATGCTTTTATCGCTTTCAGATGTTTGCCCATAAAAGTTAGGATTTTATTTCGACTTTTGAGAAATGTACATTTAAGTAAGTTACTTGTAACGTTTTGAAACAACAAACATTTTCTTTTACTTCGTTGTTCGACGTAAAAGAAGTATTGCGATCGCGAAACGTTTCGGGTACCATATTTCAGTGAAAATATCCATTATGACCGCTCTTGAATCCATTTGAACAATTGTTTTTGCATGACATCTATCTGTATGATTCGCCATAGAACGTTGAAATTTTGTATATGGGAGTACTGTGATGTTGCGCGAGTACGGGTTCGTAATAGATTGAATGCACAAATCAACATTTTTATCAAAAAAAAAAATAAATAAATAAATCAGAACTCTGGAAATTTCGTCAGAAATATTCGTACAAGAGTGTCCCCAGTATCACACAGTGTAATCAATAGTTACACTTACAAACTATAGTTCGACCGCCTCATCCGCGACCATGAGCGCAAACACGCATGCGCCATTCGGAGCGAATTATTCTCAAAATAGGGTGGAAGGATGGCGAATTTCTTTCCCTCCAGCATTAGCTTTTTCCGGAGAAGAGAAGACCTTTCACGTCGCAAGAAGTAATGCCGCCCCTTTTGGACGAGTCTATGTGTTTTGGCAGAATGCCAACCAGGGTTGCGCTTGAGACGGTCGAACTATGTTAAGAACGTTGAACAAAGCGCAAAGCAAAACGCATCTAAAGAGAAAGCTGATCCGATGTCACGCTGAACTCGCAAGAATAGCAACACAGCTAATTAAAAACTCAGATGCTCTCTCTTCGGCCTTTTATAGTTTTCAACCGCCCGCGAGGTATTTCTACCACATTCTGCTCCATTCGAGATTTCTGTAAAGCGATAAGAGAGTGGAATAATGGTAACTGTTAATTTAGTTAATTTAGTGGTCAATTGCATTTATTCAATTTCAATACAAGTAACCGAAACACCCATTTACTCAATGTTAAATGCACATGCTCCTGTATTCTTACTTTTCCGGCATAGTTTAAAATTTCTCTCGCGCTACATTATAGAACACTTTTAATTATAATTCTACTAAAATTACCTACCTAAATACAAAATTCCTCTTTTGATGCAATCGGCCGCACCAAACGTATCTACTTGTATATATACGCATTATACCCTCTGTGTATTTATTCTGATAGGTTGGTAAAATGTGTATATTTAGTTTTAAAAGTGCTTGAATTATATTGTTCTTATGCTCCAGTTAATGTTTCTGTGCTATTACTTAATAGCTGTAGAATTATTGTAACAAAAGTATTTACAGTTTAAAAGTTTTAGTAGCCCTAGACATAAGGAGACTGTCATTTGTTTACATTTGAACCTCTCAGTAGAATAGTGAACTGAGTCAGCTGGTGCACCAGCTTCAATGTCTTTTTGTAGAGTGGTGCCAAAAGTTAAATTTCAATTTTGTACACCGAAAACGTTGTTTTCCTGTCCATTCGCAGCATTGCTTATTTTTGCGTACAAAGTCTATTCTTAATTGTAAACACATTTTCTAACTGATTTTTACTATACTTGGTGTTTTAAGTTTTCCTATGGCTTACAATTTTTAAGGAAGATATTTTGAGTTTATATGTATTTGTGCTTTGCCGCGATGGGAGAACTGAATTGTTGGAATGAGAAATATATCTCTAATGAAATTCGAGTAAAAAGGTTTAAATGAAGTGCAGCAAAGAATATGTATAACATTTCATTAATGTACTTTTCCAAAATTCACAAATTTAGTCACGAATTTTTATAAATAACAATCGTAATTCAGCGTAAAGCGTAAACTCTGAATTATAGATCGACTCAAAAATATGACTTTTATCAAATGCAAGTAATACCAACTTTCACGTCATATGTTTACGAACTCGTCTGTACTTCAAAATAGCACAGTAAAGGAAACGTAAATTTACTGATTGATAATTCTCTTCTCTCCTACTCAAGTCACCAGACAGTTTCTACAGGGGGCTGAAGGATTAAGAATGGTTTTGGACCGCTCGGCCGGTGGGTTAAGAGTCAAATCGTCATCTTACTTAAAATGTAATCCTAAGTGACACTTCGTCTGTGTTATTTGTGAATTTCGGGCAATATGTGAGTAGTAACATATTGTTTTTCGCAATTCCCAGATACTTATGGGTTAAATCACATATTTTTATTTCAATTTTAGTTTTCTTTAATTCTTAAAAAGCAATTAACCAGTGAGTGTGCGCTCTAGGTCCAATGTACCACCCGATTAAAAAAAAATCCCTTCTCAAAGCAGGTGGCCTATTTTCCCCAAATTGCGAGATCGCATGTAATCGCGTCCCAACTCAATGTTTCCGAAGTTTTTCGCCGGGAATTCTCCTTACCGACACTTAACTTACATGTCTTACGGAAACTTACACTTAAACACATTAAAACACTTACGGACAATACGCCTCTAGTTGCTCTTCATTATCTGGAAAGCCCATCATCTCTTGCTCGCACGATCTGGAATACTCCCTGGAACAGGCATTGTCTTGAGCTCCTAAATGAGATAAAAATGTGAAAAAATTAATCATTTGCCACAAAATAATCAATCTGTTTAAATGCTTAAAGTTTGTCATATGATATATTTTACGTTTTCACATTTCATTTGAAATTTGAAAAATTCAAAATTTTATTATATGACATATTATGTATTATTCTATAATTTATGCATAATTCTATATTTTATAGTCCAAAGGGGCAATTTGCCCACAAGAACTATTAATTTCGTTTTGTCATTTTGCGTTGATTCACTACAAGCGTTGTTTCACTTTTATATTTGAAGAAATTAAATAATGAAGAATCTGCATTAAATGTATGTATGTGTCTCGCATTGTGATAAAATAACGGGAACTTAGAGCCATTCAATTTTGAATAACGTAATCCTCCTGGCATATGGGCATCTGGAAGTCTAAATTTCGAATTTGTTTTATTATCAGTTTCCCATTTTGTAAAACTGTAACGAATTTTTGATTTACAAACTCAAGGATTTTAAAGTGAACCATGGGCAACGTTGTGCTGAAACGTTGTGAATCGGAAATCCTAAAGATAGGCTTATTTTAAAATTATTTGGCGATATTGCTGTTGAACTGAATTTTATGTTTAAGTGCGAAGAACATGATATTTAATAAATAAAGTTAACACACAAAATGTTAAAAAAACACCTTTTGGACGTAATTTAAAATCTGAAAGCTTTCAGAATTAAAAAAAAAATTCTTTAACATTTCTTGGATAATTCTATAGTTATCAAAAACAAAAGAAGATTGTTTGCACGTCATAGAAATGCTTTTGATAATTTGTTTTCATGCTTAATGGGTGTATTTGTACGGCTAGAGCAATAGCTCGAATGTTTCATGAAAGCGAACGTTTTCTTAACATCGTCATCTCAATTTTATACCACTCTTTTTCATTTGGTGCTACTTTGGTAGACGGTTGCAAGGATTTTGGCAATTTTTTTGGCGAGCGATACGACTTATGGTAAACCCATTGCTGGACAAGTTATTTATGGTAACCGATACTTTGTTGTCATTTTATTGAAAAAAATTCGTTTTATTATAAATAAATTCCGTATTTTAAATATTATTTATGGCTTCTAAATATTAAAAATCAATTTAATTTTGTATTTTTATTTGAAATAAAAATTTTATTGTTTATGGTATTTTATATAATTTTATGTTGTGGATGATGAAATCAATGACGTCACCTTACTTTAAAAGTAATTGGTTTTAATGTCTATAAATTTATTCTAATGTTTTAAACATTATTTATGACTGTTAAATATTAAAATACAGTTTAATTTTGCATTTTTTTTAAATGAGTTATTATGAACAATTATTTAAATAATTTTAATTTTATGCGTGATGTAATCAGCTCCCTGATTGGTTACTAAATATTTGTGCATTACCACGCCATTTTAAAATTTTATTATTCATCTCCTCGAATTCCTTAGATTTTAAAGCGAATGGATATGTCTGTTTCGAAGATGAATGTTGTTAATGGTAATTACCAATAATTATTGGTATCGGAATAAAAAAAATTGTCCTTTGAGACATTATTTTGCTTGGCCAACGTGGCTTTCCTAATCAAAGATTTATTTATAAATTGTTACAAGGGTCAGAGGAAATTTATTAAAAACTTTTGGAGGAAACCTGGCTGCTTCTTCAGTGAAGTGCGAGAGATGGGGATCACAGATAAAGATCGTTAAAAGAGCCGATTCTGAGGACGGCCGTATATGGTATTGTGGTCGCGGAGGAAGAAATAACAGCTGTAACGGTAAAAAAGTATTAGACATTCCTTCTTTTTTACCGACGAATATTTTCATTGATATCAAAATTATAATTCCGATTTTTTATGGTACTTATACGACAGGTAAAATACTCAAAAAAAGTGTAAGTACATATTTTTCTTTTACTTTATAATTCTATACTTCAAATTTTATTAAAAATTTAACACACCGTTTTCAAAAATTGCCGAGATATATTTTGCCACATATGTTTTAATGCTAAATAATTATATCCTATAAAACTTATTTTAAAGTATTTGAATTTAAGTAATATTTTAATTCTTTTAAGCGTTGGTATGATGCTTTTAATTCGATATTCAATTTAAGTAATATTTTAATCCAATTAAATGTTGGCGCAATGTTTTTATAGCCGTGCTTTTATTCTAATTTTTTGCTATATGAAAGTAATAATTTAACCTTACTTTACTTTATACTCTTAGTAAATGTATTTATTTACATTTGCCAGCCATATTAAAAAACTACGTTCTCAACAAAAAAATAATCCCTCATTTTTAACGATATTTATTTTTTTAAAGTTTCGAATACTTTATTATGCGTAAAATACGTAAAAACAGCGTTTTCCAAGATGGCTGAAAAACCGCGCCAATGTAAATCGCAAAAAATCCTTGCAATCGTCTACCAAAGTAACACCTTTCATTTTTCTTTTCAAATTTTATGCAGCATGTTTGGCTATCCTCAAACTTCTTTTAACAAACCGAAAGCACAAAGGTTCTCTGGAGAAGAGTCAGGTAATTTAAATTAATTCTTATTCCTGAATATTTCTTTGCTAAATAAGCAGGAATTGACCTTCTGTAGAATACTTGAGAATCCTTAGCCAATAATTTCTAGTTTCTAGCGTTTCAATGACAAATTCAGAGAAGCGTTAAATTAACCTTCTTCTGAACTCAAGCTATTTAACAGATGTCCCCTCTCAGACTTACAGTAAGCCTCTACTTGGGCTTTAACTTAAGATAGAAAATAAGAAAGTAATTTAATGCTAACTAAACTAAAACCCACTGAAGCTGCACAGAACTAACAGAGTTGGGGAAGTTCACCGGCGATTGCTAGCAGGCACGTAACAATACGGCCGAGCGTAGTTAAGATTAGTTTAAAACAATCATGTGGCCAGAAACAGAATACGCTCTACTAAGAGCTTTTAAGCTCTTCTACTGAAGTGACGAACTCTTAACTTGAATATCGGTTCTACCTCATTTACATAAAACACGATCCTGAAAACTCATTCTGGCAGGGCATTGTAGGTGGGAAATAAATAATTAAAAGAAGGCATACTTAAAAATAAAATTTAAAAAAAATCTGAAAGTTTTCAGATTTTAAATTACGTGGGCGTCTTTTTAACGTTTTGCGTGTTACCTTTACTTTTTAATATCATGTAAAATTGAGTTCAAAAGCAATATCGCAAATTATTTTTAAAATGAACATGTCTTTAGAATTTCCGATACAGAGTCTCGTGCGCTAGAGATAATTTTTTTCCTCCGTACAGTGTTGCTATTGTTCGCTTTGAAATCGTTTAGTTTTTCAATGAAAAATTCGTTTAAGTGTTACAAAATCTGAAATCGATAATAAAACTAATTTCAAATTCAAATTAAGGCTTCCACTGGCCCATATTCTATGGAAAATTACGTTATTCAAATTTTGATGGCTCTAGGTACAGTTGTTTTTCACAATGCGAGAAATATACATACACTTACGCAGATTCTTCTTTAGTTAATTTCTTTAAATATAAGACATTGCAATAATATATGGTGCCAACGATTTGAAATGTGATACAGCCTTTTAAAGGTTTCGACGGAAAATGCCAAAACGAAATTAATAGTCCTTCAGGGCAAATTGCCGCTTTGGACTAAAAATTACTATTATGAAATTAAATTATACAACTAAAACGTGTGACTAAGTCTTACGAGGGGTTTCCCGACCTTTTTATTTTATTTTTATTATCAACTACACACCTTTTTTCTTTCAAATTTAAGACATAAAAAACACATTTCTTTGAAATGCAATAATCTCGTCTTTTAGATCGCTTTGTAACTGGTTGATACCAGAAATTTTCCCCGAAAAATTCATTTACGTTACCTTCGAGCAATCTATTACTGTAAATACTCATTTCTATACGAAATAGCTTATTATGCATTCTAATGAAAACAAAACAGAAGCAGACATTTGCACTGAAAATGCCAAATCTTTACCTCAAAATAATAACGAGAAAATTGAAACAGAGCATCGTTTCCATAAAGTGGGAACGACCTTTTGTTATAATTTGCAAGCTAGGAATTAATTAATCCGGATATTATTTTACTTCAGACGAAAAGGACGACTTACCTGAAGAGGCAATCAGCAGAGAGAGTACCACTAAACCCCACATTTCGGTTTGCCTATCGGTTAATGTAATAAAACGACACTTGACTCGCTTTTAACTCTTTCAATAGCTAGATACAAAAGATGAAAATTATATGTGCGTTGCAAAATGAGGAAGGCTTCCTTTTATGTTTTAGCACTTTATCCATATGCAACAGGATATCCTCAAAGCTTGATAACCGTATCCGAGTGGCAAGTGGCGAAACTCGGACTCTTCCCTTCATTTAAGTTAAACATAAAAAATGGGGGCTGCGAAGTAAATGTCATTTTCGTAGAAGGAAGCCGGAAACGCCTAGCAAAGTATGAAGGTCGTATGTTTTGTGAATATTTGTTACTCAATTACAATAACCCAGCTTTTGATGGATCGACTCCAAATCTTGCGTGTAGGATAGGCGAACAATGGCAACGGTTAGAACAGCAGGTCATTCATCAAACGGGATTAAGTCCCAGTTCACGAAGGATGACTGTGAAATTGAAATGACAATGCTTAGAAGCAGCCTCAAGTTTTTAATAATAAGAATAAATGTCGCATGGCTTTCACAATTATGGCATCTGTTTATACTGTTTATACCTAACTATCGGAAGAACCTGATGCCAGTTAAGTTAGATAGAAGGTAATTTATTATTTTACTCATGACATTATTTAAAAAATTCACATAATAGCATATTGCACGTCATAAGGAATATGACGCGTCATTGTAATGCATAAAAATGCAAAAAAAATAATATTCAATACATGTATCACAACTGACTACGTAATCAATAGAATCATATGGTACCAATATGACATATGGAATTGCCATTTGGGTCAGCAAAAATAAAAACAAAAACATCGTTATTTTGAGCAAAAAATACGATTCATAGTCACAACTTTTTCAGTCTGATCCAGTATGGAACCTACACAAAAATTTCGAAAGAAAAATAAACTTATTCTCTCTCACTATATCAGCAACAATATCATGCAGCCATTGTTGCTGTTGTTGCCATTGCTGCTGATATCAGCACTGTTGCCACTCGAAAAAATGAGGGCTAACATTAACGTTTTAAACGTTTTTAACCCTTTCACTGTCCTCTCCTGTCCGCGAAAATTTCCCACCAATGGCCGTCTGTTTTTCGTAGCGTGTAATGTTGTTTTCTCTGTACATCTTAACTTTCCATACATGACTTTCGTAGAGGATGAATGTCAATGAGTATTGAGTAAAATTATAAGGATATAAAGCATAATGGAAAATAATATCTCTGCTTATTTCTAACAGCAGGATAATTGGATAACATCTGTTCCAGGCGGTCTACGTCTCCCATTTTGTTGTTAATCTTTTACAATTATTGGTTTTTTTACAGTTCTTTTCTGTGTTCCAAGATCAATCATCGACTTGTTATGGACTGTACTCATCAAACGTATATCTTTCTTGTCTTCCCAATTCACAACCTCATTTTTTCTATTTTTCTGCTGAGTAGACGTTGAAGCCATCTCTCACTGTGTTGTATCTTACGTAAAATGGCGCGAATATTCATGAAACCGGGGTGGCAAATTCAATTAGACATAGAATGCGTGATTAGTGCTGCCCTCTAGGAGGTATTAGAACAAACAAAAATAAAAACTCAAAAAAAGTAAACATATAAAAAGCGTTTTAAAATGTAGAAGAACGCTTGAGGCGCGTTACGGCCCCCCTGCGGAAGTTTCACTTGAACGCGCTAGACGCGTTACGGACGACGAAGAGGTTAATTACTATCTCTGATTTTAGCTAATGTTTTTTGGAAAAGAGTAGACGTCGACCTTTAGTAGTAAAAAAGTAGACGTCGTGAGAAAGAATTAGGATTCCTGAATAGCGTTTGCCTTTCAACTAAGTCTCTCTAACAGTCTTACGCTCCGCCGTATTACGTGCCTTTCCATAGCTTCGCTAGCTAATTTAACATTACGGGCCAACTAGTTTAGAATTAGCTTCGGCTAAATCTCTTTAGATAACCAATACTTATTTCTTACTTTTTTTTGGGGGGGGGCGTAAGTGGAGGCTTTGTTGTACTTCCTCCGTAAACGGCCATCTATAACTCTTTATTCTGAGCAATAAAGGGTAATTAACCCTTCTTGAATTTATGTTTCTATTCTCGGACTTGTGCAATTATTCGCTTAGTAGTTCACTAGGTCCCTCAACACTTAGTTAATAGATAGAAACTTAGTTATTAAGTAAAAACGCTTAGTTACTACTAATGTGCTATTAAGTTACTACTAATGTGTTACTACTATTTAGTCACTACTCAGTAACTAACAACACTTAGTTAATAGATAAAAAAGAGGAACCTTGCACACCACATGACTTCCTTGTAAGGAATATTAAGTTATACGCAACTTTTGCAGCATTTCATTTTAACTTTATTCCTCGAATTTCGTTAGAGATATATTTCTCATTCAATGGATTCAGTTTTCACTTCGCGGCAAGCCAAAAATATATAAAACTTCACAATATCTATATTAAAAGTTGAAAAATATAGAAAAATGTAAAACACTAAATACAGTTAAAGCAATTAAAAAATTTACAAGTAAAATTAGAATTTCTACGGAAAAAAAGCAACTCTACGGAAAAAAAAAACAGCGAGCAAGAATGCAGATTTTTCGGTACACAAAACTGTAAGTTTACTTTTTGTCCTATTCGGCAAAAAGACGCTGAATGTGGAGAAACTCACTTCTGCACATTCGGTGTTTCCAATGTAAACAAATATGGCTGCAATAATAAGAAAAATTAGGCTACGCCGCACTTAAATAACTTTTAAATTGTTGAGAATTCTACAACTATTGCATGCATATTAACTAAAAGCATAACAAAAAACTTATCCGGAAGATAAGAACAACACAATTTAATCAAAAAGAGAGGTGCACAACTACATATAATAGCAGTCCTATATACAAAATTTCTAAAGTTCTGAAACTACTTGTTTTTGAGTTATGCGAGGTACATACGCACGTACGTACAGACGCCACGAAAAAGGTCTCTTCTGAACTCATTTTAAATCAGTTTTATAATTCGTTTGGGAAACAAAAAGAGTCCCTTATTCTGCCCGTACGTACAGATGTCACGCAAAAGCATCCTTAAATTGCATTCGATAGCGGTGAAAATGGATATTTTCTTTTAACTATGATACCCGGAATTTTTCATGATTACAATACATCCTTTACTTCGTACAAGAAAGTAAAAATGCCAAAGTATGAAGCTCTACGTTATTTAAAACGATTTTGTATTGACAGCACATGCCTACGACGAACGATTGTGAAAATAAAGACTGGGCAAGGATTTTTGTGAACACTGCCTACATGAGTTAAAACACGGGGTGATTATACTTAAAAGTTCCACTTTGAAATGGTCATAAAAAGAAATCTAATAGACCAAATGTTATCAAACTTTCTAATTTTGTAAAGGAGGGCAGGGGAATTTAATTTCCGCGGAAAAAAAAAAAGTGTTCAAAATCTCACTACCAGAGGGTGTGTGAAATGGCTCTGTATGCAAGATTATTAAACGAATAGACATGAAGACATAGGTTTAAAATGTGTTTAATCCTTTCTGAAACGTGTTACAAAGCATGTTCAATGTAGCGGCCGACATTTCCCGAAAGCAAGTTAAATCGCATTACTGCATTCTCAACAGCAGCTCTCAGCATATCAGGAGGAATGTTACGGATATGTCGGTGTATCGCATCTTCTAATTCCGACAAATTGTTTAGACTATCACCATGAACTGTGCTTTTGAGATAACCCCGAAAATATCAAGGGTTGGGATCTGGTGACCGGGGTGGTCAAGAAGTGGGGAGGTGTCGGCCTATAATCCTTTCATTCTTGAAATATTGCCTAAATAACTGTGCAAAACTTGTACCTATGTGAGATGGGGCCCCGTCCTGCTAAAACATCGGGGTGTCTGAAATATAATCACGTTGCTGCAGTTCCATGTATTACGAAACGTCTTAGCATTAACGCTTAATTTTTTAACTGTTTCCGCAGAAAATAAATTCCCATAACCTTCTTTAACACGATTACCAAGTTTGATAACATTTCGTCCAGTAGTTTTCCTTTTACGACCATTTCCAAGTGGAACTTTAATCATAACCACCGTGTAAGTTGTGAGATTCGACACCCAGCAAATAACCAATTTAACCTAACTTAAATAACCAGTTTAACCTTAACTGGGTTATTCACTGGTGATATGATTTTTGTTATTGTCTCATAGATTTCGACCGACTGACCTTTAGTTTTCTCTTCACTTGATATGATTACGCACATCCGCTAGATACGGCTTTTTCACTGCGCTGAATTACCATTATATGTCATACATGTCGACGGAAACGGAATTCAAGAGCGTTTTAATATTGCCGTCGTAATAAATCAAGTAAATCAAGCGAACGGTGTTTTGTGCCTTCAGAGTGACATCATTTAAGAAGGAAAAACAAAGATTGCCTTTTTTAAGCTACGGACGACAATCGTTGACTAATACTTTCGTACAATTTCCGTTTATTGGTAACTGTAACCGGCTGTCAGGAATCGTGGTTGTCTTATCACATACACGGGATTACGCTGACGGAACTCCGGCTGTAAAAAAAAGGTAATGCAATGCTCAGAGCTCTTTTATGTGTAGAAATGATTCATATTCTAAAATACTAAAACATGTATGACGTTATCGCCTTTTCGTAGCTGGTTTCTGTAACTTCTGTTGCACTTCAAAACTCTATTCGATCTCGTTCCAATTGGGTTATTCGGAAAATAATTTCGCTTTTTCCCAACAGAGGACTTAATTGTATTTTTCACAGCCAACTTCACACTTTAGCCGCATCATAATTGTATATTTTGATAGCTAATATAGCAAGACTTGTTTATGAAAAAGTTGATTCTACGCAGTAGTTTTGGGATGATGCCTTTTCAAACATGAAAAATGAAAAGTAGCATTTTCGACATATTTTACTTTTTTACTATCGCAAAGGTAAAAATTCTGTTCAAGCTAAAAAAAAAAATATCCGATGCATATGGAGAAAATGTGTTGACAGAACGCCAGTGCCAAAACTGGTTTGCAAAATTTCGATCCCGTAATTTTGATCTTGAAGGTACACCACGTTCTGAAAGGCCAGTTAAAGCTGATGAAGACACAATAAAGGCATTCATTGATGAAAACATCCGAAAAACAACT